CTGCCTCCCTGCCTCCCTGCCTGCCTGCCTGCCTGCCTTACTGCCTGCCTGCCTGCCTGCCTGCCTTCCTTCCTTCCTTCCTTCTTTCCTTTCATTTTTGTTTTATTGAGACAGGGTTTCTCCATTTCACCCAGAATGGAGTGCAGTGGTTCGATCACAGCTCACTGCAGCTTTGAACTCCTATGTTCAAGGAATCCTCCTGTCTCAGCCTCCCAAGTAGCTGGGCCTACAAGTGTGCACTGGCAGCTGGCTAATTTTTTAATTTTTTTTTTGGGGGGGGGTTGTTGTTGTTAGAGATGGGTTGGAAAGAATCTTGCTATTGCTCAGGCTGGTCTTGAACTCGTGTACTCAAGCAATCCTCCTGCATCAGCCTCCCAAAGTGCTTTTCTAGTTGTTAAGGTAGAAGTTTAGGTTATTGATCTGAGACCCTTCTTTATTAACTAAGGGTTTACAGCTATAAATTGCCCTCTGAGCACTGCTTTCATTGCATCCTATAAGTTTTGGTATGTTGTGTTTTCATTTTCACTCATTTCTAGGTATTTTCTAATTTCTCTTGTGATTTCTTCTTTGATCCACTGGTTGTTTAAGAGTATGTTGTTTAATTTCCACATATTTGTGAATGTCTCAAATTTCCTTCTGTTATTGATGTCCAATTTCATTCCATCGGGCTCAGAGAACATACTTTGTGTGATTTTGATCATTTTAAATGTATTGAGACTTTTTGCATGGCCTGACATACAGTCTATCCTGGAGAATTCCATGCGCACTTGAGAAGAATGTGTATCCTGCTGTTATTGGTGGTTGTGTTCGATGATGTCTGTTGGTCTGTTTGTTTATGGTTGCTTAAGTCTATTATTTTCTTGTTGGCCTTCTGCCCAGTTCCATCCATCATTGAAAGTGGAACATTGAAGTCTCCAACTATTATTGTTGAATTATCTATTTCTCCTGCCAATTCTGTTTGTTTTACCTTAGGTATTTGGGGGCTTTGCTGGTAGATGCATATATGTTTATAGTTTTTATTTCTCCTGATCAGTGGATCCTTTTATCATTATAAAATATCATTCTTTGTCTCTAGTCACAATTTTTGTCTTAAAAGTATATTTTGTCTGATATTAGTAAAGCTACTGTAGCTCTCCTTTGGTGGTTGTTTGCATGGTAGGTCGTTTCCTATGCTCTTAGGGTGGGTATTTTTTTAAAGCTGCTCAACTGATCCTGAAGTATAGTTGGAGTCAAGAACTACCAGAACACGGCCCTTAAGCTAGGTGAGCAAGAAGAACAATCTTCTACCATCAGATTTGTTTATTTAGCAACGTGTTTCTCAAGCCTGAGAAATGTTTGGTCCCCTTTAAAGGGAAAAAAAAATTTCTTTGTCACTTCCTTGAAGAATTTGTGTTGACAAATTCTTTTTATTAGAGTATTATTGATACTTAGATGTGTTTGAATTTAAAACTAAATATAACTTTCCGTTTGCAGCTCTGATACAACCACAAAACCAAATCTAATTTATAAATTAATTATAAGCAAACTGCAAAACAATGCAACTAAAGCAAAAAAGTAAATTTGATGTTTAGAGTAATGTTGTTTTATTGACATCAAATGGCCACTGGCACAATGAACCTGGTCGGTGTGAAGGTTCTTTTGAGTTCAGCATGGCTTGTCTACCACATGCCCTGCAATGAACCAGTTCAGCCACTACTTTTTCTTTTTATTAAACTATGATGAATCCCTTATTGTGCAATACACAGTTAACGTCATTTGGCCGTCATGTAGACTAGAACAGATGATATTAAGGTGGTCTCTGTTTATGTTCCAATACCTGGAAATGATCAAAACAGTGCTACTGTGCCCTAAGAACACCCTAAACACAAACACACCGTGGGTTCATTCTAATGATTCCAGCATATTCATTTTTTAAAGATTACCATCAAAGTGAAAGCAAATTTCTAAATTACCGGAAGGAGCTGGTATATGCCCCCACATAAGTGTGCTGTTTGGAATTTTTGTTTTGTTTCCAAAACACTGGCTTGGAATTTTCTTTGATGATGTGCCTCAAGTCTTCCAGAAGGGTTCTGTGTGAATCCTTAGGTTCTGCTGCCCTCAGAAGATATTCAGAGTATGTTTATGCAGGGAGTTTCCTAAAGTTCCCTGTGTGATTATCTCATCTTGTGCAATGAGGAAAGGAAAATAGCAGTAAAAATCTTGTGCTGGTCACCATGACCTGACCCAGAAACGATTTGGTGGTTGGTTTCACCAAGCAAGATAAAGCGGTAGAGCAAAGACCTAGCCACGACCTCCTCTATGACCATCTTTGTCTTTTAATGAATAGGACTTTGTAGTAAGTGAGTTGTTGAGAAGGAAGCTCCACATCCTTAGTAGCAGCCTTGGAGAGGGTGGGAAGAAGCAGGCCTTGCTGCAGACTGGAGCCGGACCTGAAAGGAGACAGCCCTGGCCACAGGGTATGATAACCGTACTACACACCCTGCTGTCTGAGATGACTTCTTAAGCTATGACTCACCCGCTTAATCTCTCTCACCTGTTGAACAAGCAGCTGAAGGCAGGATACGGAACAGTCTGAGCCACAGCCCCAAAGAGATGACTAATACATCAGTGTCTCCTGCCCTGTCCGCCCCCAGGGAGAGGCCAGACCAGGCAAAGTATCAACTGGAGGCTATGGCTAGGGTGGAGTGTAGGGACAGTGTTTAGTGTCAATCACTACTTCCTTCTTTGTCCACTGCACCCAACAGATAGCCTATTCCAAATGGCCCGTGCAGTCTCCTCTTTCTACAGAGCCCCGTGTGAAGTGTTTAGTTCCATTAACTCCTATGGGAAGGTTTTGCAAGGGCTGGGCTGGAATGCTTTCATTTTAATTAGTTAGCTTGGGGACCATATAAATAATGGTGAACGCCACTTTTAGAACATGCAAAAGAGCAAATATAACTTTTCCCAAAATGATAGGCAAATTAGCTTGTTAGGTATACTCTAAAATTCTCTTCCAAATTTCTTCTCAACACACCATGAAATGGTATCTCCCAGGCCAGGCGTGGTGGCTCACACCTGTAATCCTAGCTCTCTGGGAGGCCGAGGCGGGCGGATTGCTTGAGGTCAGGAGTTCGAAACCAGCCTGAGCAAGAGCGAGACCCCGTCTCTACTATAAATAGAAAGAAATTAATTGGCCAACTAAAAAATATATATGGAAAAAATTAGCTGGGCATGGTGGCGCATGCCTGTAGTCCCAGCTACTTGGGAGGCTGAGGCAGGAGGATTGCTTGAGCCCAGGAGTCTGAGGTTGCTGTGAGCTAGGCTCACGGCACTCACTCTAGCCTGGACAACAAAGCGAGACTCTGTCTCAAAAAAAAAAAAAAAAGAAAAAAAAAGAAATGGCATCTCCATACATCTTCCTTGGAGGGCTTATCTTAGGCCCAGCTTTTATGCTACTGAAAATGCTCATCTTGCATCTCACTGACAATCCGCTCAGAGTTATGTTAAGACTTTTTGCAAGGTTTATGAACTTTCTGACTGCACATGTGACAGGAAGAATGTGAGGTAGCTTTTTAAAAGAGGAAGAACGTGAGTCAGGTTCTTCATTTTAACCCTCTGGCAACTCGTCCCTCCCACCCATATAGTCCAGCTACTGTTCAGACACTCCCCGGAGAGCTCAGCCTGAGAACTGCTCCACTTTGTCTCAGCATGGTTGAGAGAGCGCGGCAGGGTCAGAGAGAGCTCACTTAACTCTCATTCTCTTCTCTTAACAAAGCACGTTGGCTTTGACATGCCCCATGAATGTTCCTTTGCTCAACCCATTCGATATTACTGTGCAGGCTGGTCAGGGAGCATGACCCGGCCTCCACCTGCCTGTCCCACCTTCACCTCTTGCCTTTTCCCTCCTTACCTACCGCATTTGGGCCATGTTGGCCTCCTTTTTGTTTCTTGAAGCTCTTTCCCTCCTCAGGGCCTCCACAGACAGGAACCTCTGCCCCCAGTGGTGGCCCCACCAGACCTCCCCATCCATTGTCACCTTGCAGTCTCCTCTCAGGTCTCAGCTTTCATGTCACCTCCCCAAAGAGACTTTCCTGTTAATCCCTGATCTGACTCCCAGACCATTTTCTTCACAATTCTTATCACAATCTGTCATTATTTTTATTTGTTTGGTTACTAGTTTTTCTATTTCCCCCACTAGAATGTAAACTTAAAGAGGTAGATATCAAGTATGCTTTACTCACCTATATATACCAAGATCTAAGCCTAGTTCCTGGAATATGTGGGCACTCAATTCATACCTGTTAATAGAAGAAGAAATTTTTAAGAAATGATTAAAAAATGTTTCTTTTTTTTTTGAGGCAGAATCTCACTTTTGTTGCCCGGGCTAGAGTGTTTCTTTATTTTCTGCAAAATCATTATATTACTCAATGATATTCCAGCAAGGATTTATAAAATAAAATTTTAAAAAATATTTTTATATTTTCTATTTCACAATATTATGGGGGTACAAACATTTTGGTTGCGTAAACTAATTTTGTACAGTTTGATTCAAAGTTATTATACCCGTTAGGTGTGAATTTACCTATCCCCTCCTTCCCACCCCCACCTGCTTGATTTCCAATGAATGTTATTTCTATATGTGCACATAAGTGTTGATTGATTAGTTCCAATTTAATGGTGAGTACATACGGTGTTTGTTTTTCCATTCTTGTGATACTTCACTTAGAAGAATGGACTCCAGTTCCATCCAGGTAAATTCAAGAGGTATGAGTTCACCATACTTTTTATGGCTGAGTAGTACTCCGTGGTATATACATACCACATTTTATTAATCCACTCATGTGCTCTTCCTTTTCCAATTCCTTGAGGTGATTCATTAGATTGTTGGTTTGTGATCTTTCTGTCTTTTGGACATAGGTACTCAGGAGTCTGAGGCAGGAGACTCGCTTGAGCCCAGGGGTTACAGGTTGCAGTGAGCTAGATGCCACCACCACACTCTATCCAGGGCAATAGAGCAAGACTCTGTCTCAAAAAAAAAAAAGAAAGAAAAGAAAAGCTGTCTAAGCAAAGCAAAAGGATCAGTAGTAAATGAGTACCTCAAAAAGTCAAAAGTTATACTAAATGTCAAACCAAGAGAGACTCACTCTGAGAGGGGGAATCAAACCCAGGGTGTTGGGGTGAAAGCACAGAATTTTAATCATTAGGCCACAAGGTGAACTAGCTTTATTGTCATTCCTGCAGGGGCAGCTATTCTTGAGGGGGAGAATACAAAGGATCTTTATCTTATAATTTAGATTTTTGCTTTTAAATTTTATTAAGAGAATTTTTCAGGCTAGCCATGACACTATTATGTGCCTTTAAAAAAAAATTGGATATTGGTACTTTGAGACATGAGTCTGCTAACCTCCTCATTTGCCAGCAAATTGATAAACTTCTCTTTCCTTCTTCTCAAACCACTTGTTCTTGTTCTTCTGATGGGGCCTCAGGGACAAGTGCTGAAATTTTAGTAACAGAATTTGGTGTCTGTGGGTGGGGCCCATAAAAGCCCTGGTGGAATGGCACCCCATGATTGCTGGAAGAGGCAGGGAGCAGCCCTGGGTCAAAACCATGAGTCTTCATGGGTAGGAGCAAACTTCGTTTCAAGATGAGAGAGAATGGCCCCAGCAGCTGCCAGAGCCTGTTTTAGCTCCAGGAAATTCTTGTCTCTGTCTCTCCAAACTAGACACAGCTCTCCACAACCTCAACTGAGTTGAGAAGAAGGAAATGGAACTAGAAACATCTGGACAGCCTCAGCCATTTATTTGGTAAGTTCCCTGGCATGCATACCAAGACCCTGATTCCACCCATATGGGGGTTTTCAGTTCTTCCTGTTGGTTTTGTTCATTTTGAGGTACCTTTTAGGTGCAGAAGTCAGGAGGTTGGAGTGGAGCTAGAAACACAGTTTGAATTAGGAGCTCATTTGCAGTTTCCAGGGAACGGGATGAGGGGGGTGGGGAACTAGGGACTAGGCCACCATTTGAGGAGGGTTTCCCAGGAAACAGGGGGATGAGGCCACCCATTTAGGGAGGTTTTGAACCTTCCAGATGGGGTGGCATTGATTCCCTTTGGATTCCCGTTTTCAAACCTTCCAGCCCTATAGCAGGGCATTTGAGACACCATCCGAGGTGCCATTTGGGGTGACATTTGTCCCCTTTGGAGTCCCTTTTGTTTGATAGGCCGAGGCATTTTTGCATTAAGGATTCCCCGTATTGTCTGCTTGTTATATGTCAGTTTTGTTACAACATAAGGAAGAACTTTAGCTACAAACCTATGTGTAAAGAGAATGGTGTCATTGTAATCCAGTGTACATGGTGGAGTGTGAGAAGTGGCTGTTAAATGAAAATTCACGTTTGATTGATAGGACATGACATTTTAGATTGTGTTGGGAAATCCCTGTATTGTTCATATTTAATTGTTTGCAAGTTTTTGTAGCACTTGGCTAGTGAGTTTTGGTATTGTGGTACTGCTTGTATGGAGTGTGCAGAAAAGTGGTGGTGGATGGTCCCTGGGTTTATTCTAAGCTGTTGGTTCTTTTTCCCAGGAATTTGCTGTTTGGATCCTAATTTTGATTTGGAGGTGCTTTCTGAAGGGTCTTCTTCATTGCCTATTAAATCCTTTAAAAATAAAAAAAGACAAGGAGAACGGCACCCTTCAGACATCCCAGTTGATTTGTGGTGCCTTTACCTACAAGTATTTGTATAAAGTTCAAAGATATGCCAGGCTTTCTAGGCTGGCCAATTCTTATGCTGAAGTTTTTACTAAAGGGAAAATTATATTAAGGAAAATTCAGAGCTCAAGTGGTCAACCTGCCACTACAGATTTAAAATGCTGAATCTCAAGCTCTCTACCTGAGATAAACTCACTGTTTATGGTATACAAAAAGATCTGTGTTTGTAAGATCTTTGATAAATGAGGCTCTCCCACCCCCCACCCCACCCCCAGAACTCTACAGCCAGCCTAGCAAGGCGCCAGGTGGAGCCACAGCCCGGGAGGCAGACCCTGCAGGAGGGAGAACTGCCACACACCTCCCGCCACTGCCGCCTTCTTGACACCATGGGAGGGCCCAGGAGTGCACCGCCTGGACTAACGCTTCAGACTCACGCCCAGTAAATTATGACTCCGGTTCGGCATGGTCTCCCCGAAGCAAACTCAATTTGGGCCAGTGGCAACCCATAGCCAGGCAGGCAATTTACGACAATATCAGATAGGGAGGCTTCAATGTGCAAAAACAGCTAAAGGGTCTTTTGAGACAGTCAAAGGGAGTGGGCAAAAAAGCTGTCCCCGACTGATTTTTTGTAAAAAAAAAAAAAAAAAAAGAGGGACCTTGAAAGGAACATTGCCCAAAATTGTAAAAGACTCCCAGTGACAGGAAGCTCCCAGGAAAGTAAATCATTTTTTTTTAAAGTCCAAGACTCAGAGAGTAAAGGAGAGAGGGCCAGAAGCCCCTGCCTTCAAATAGCCCCTCGGGAGCCCTGGGCAAAATAGACAGTGGGGATTCAATTGACACTAGCCATGTAGACAGAAGTGGTTTGGGGGGGGTCCCTTCCCCCGGACCACTACGCCAATCCCTGCACCAGCAGCAAGCCAGGTAGGGGGTGGCGGGGGAGGAGACAGGTGGCAGTGGGGCAGCTGCAGACAAGGGGTGGCTGAGAAATTTGTGGCGGTGGGCCCAGGATGCAGACCTGGGCGAGCAGCAGGAGCACCAGGGGTTGCTTCAGAAGCGACAGAAACTCACCTCCAGGGGCGCCCCACCAAGCTCCTGCTGGATGAATGCCAGGGACAGGTGAAGTACACAGGAAACTGCCCCATTGCTCTTTGACGTCCGGGCTTCCGCAAGCCTGCACATCATTGAGTCCAAGGAAGGAGGCCGAGCAGGTAGAGAATGGCGTGCTCGTGATGGTCGCTGTAGACAGACAGCTACAGAGACGGCTCAGCAGCTCCTTCTCCTCCAGCAAGGACGTCAGCAGGCACCCCATTGTCAACAGGACCCCGGAGTACACTCCAAGGAGCCCTGGACTTTTCACAGGAGTGATAATGGACCCTCCTTTGTAGCAGAGGTAAACCAAACAAAGCCCTACCCCTAGAATAGAAATTGCATGCATCCGGCTGGGCACAGTGGCTCACAGCTGTAATCCTAGCACTCTGGGAGGCTGAGGTGGGAGGATGACTTGGAGTCAGGGGTTCAAGACCAGCCTGAACAAGAACAAGACCCCATCTCTACTAAAAATAGAAAAAATTAGCTGGGCATGGTGGCGTATGCCTATAGTCCCAGCTACTTTGGAGGCTAAGGCAGGAGGATCACTTGAGCCCAGGAGTTTGAGGTTGCTGTGAGCTAGGCTGATGCCACAGCACTCTAGCCTGGGCAACAGACCAAGCCTCTGTTACAAAAAGAAAAAAAGAAAAAGAAAAGAAAACAAAGAAAGAAATTGCATGCATCCTGGAATTGATGCAAGAAACCCATCTAAAGTGGGATAAGATATTGATTGCTGCTTGCCCTCCTCTGGATAAGGGTAGCCCTTTAGAAACAGACTTAAGCCCCTAAAAATATAGTTGATGAGAGACCCTTCCTTGCATCCTAAGGCAAGTATGGTAATATAACCATTAGTAACAGAGAATAGAGTAAAGCAATATGTCAAATGAGCGGGTCAGGTGCTGACGACTACACAAGTTTGCCTCTTTCAGGCCCCTGCCCCGTTGGAAACAGAAGTGGAAGGGACCCTATGAAGTGCATCTAGCAACTCACACCTTATTGAAATGGTCAGAAGTGAAACTTTAGATCCATCATACCAAAGTAAAGAGGTGTTGCACCCAGTGGAAGGACCAGCCTTAAGCGATCTAAAGTATCCGTTTCAAAAAGAAAAACAATGAAAATGTTGATCTTTTTGGTTCTGTCTGTAGCTGCAGTCCCCAACTCCCGGGCTGCAGCCTGGTGCCAGTCCACGGCCTGTTAGGATCCAGGCCTTCCATCACCACCTGAGCTCTGCCACCCCGCCCCATCCCAGTCCATGCAAAAAATTGTCTTCCATGAAACCAGTCCCTGGTGCCAAAAAGGTTGGGGACCACTGGTCTATAGGACAGAGAGATAACACCTCAGTGAGGATTTCCTGGGGCTATTGCTTCTTCTGTTCATCTGTCTTGTTGCTGGGTGTGTTATCCTAAACCTTGTTTGCTACAAGTATTTCTGTACCTGGTTTCTGAATTTGCAGAAAGTGGTCTCTCGGCTCACCTACTGGGTACAACTGGTATACCGCTCTGGTCTCAGAGGCCCCATGTTTCTCTTCTAACCCCGTCCTGCATCAGACATTGTGTGCAAGGCGACAGTCCATTTCACCTTGTCAGTCCTCATGGTTGTAGTTTTGCTTATGCTCTTTTTCACCTTATAATCTGTACCTTCCATCTATAACACCGTCACAATTCAGCAGGAAGTAGGTCGATGACTGCATCGCCCCTCCTCCCATAGACATGGAAGAGTAAAATTGACAGTGGGGAACATGTAACAGAGAGAATGGCCTCAAAAGGGGTAAAAATGTTTTCTGTCTCTTCAAAACCCCCTCACCCTTTTTGAGAGCTAAAACCTGCATCCCTGCCTCAGGCTAGTGGTCAGGAGTGGGAGGAGAGCATCCTTTGTTCTTTGTGCCATAGGAGATGGCTCAGGGGAATTGCCCCGGGAGTAGTCAAGATTGTCCTAGCTGAAGAGGGGACTGTGGGATTAATCAGAACCTTAAAAAGCTCTGTACTTCTGCTTTGAGATAGGAGTCTGCCAACCTCATTTGCCAGCAAACTGATAAACTTCTCTTTCCTTCTCCTCAAAAAAAAAAAAAAATTGATCTTCCCATAAATACAAATCAGGCAATTGTTTAGAATAAGAGGTCTCTAAAGCCTAATTAAAAAAAAAAAATTAGGAGGCCAGGCATGGTGGCTCACACCTGTAATCCTAGCACTCTGGGAGGCGTAGGTGGGATGATCGTTGGAGCTCAGGAGTTCGAGATCAGCCTGAGCAAGAGCGAGACCTCATCTCTACTAAAACATAGAAAGAAATTAGCTGGACAACTAAGAATACATATAGAAAAAATTAGCCGGGCATGGTGGCGCATGCCTGTAGCCCCACCTACTCAGGAGGCTGAGGCAGAAGGATCGCTTGAGCCCAGGAGTTTGAGGTTGCTGTGAGCTAGGCTGACGCCACAGTACTCTAGCCCCGGCAACAGAGTGAGACTCTGTCTCAAAAAAAAAAAAAAATTAGGAATATTTCTAATTTAAAGGATCTATCTTTTGAGCATTAATTTTTACTGTTGTATTTATTCCAAAGAAACTTAATCCAAAGAGCCTCTTTAGAGAAGCAGCAATCCCAAAGATCCCCTCATTTTGCAGAAATAGACTAAGAAAACAAAAGACTCTTGCTGCCACAGAGAGGTGAGGATGGATAGTGTTAACCCACAAATTTCTGGGGGTGCTGCCAGTCACATATCAGTTACTCTGTGACACTGGGCAGGTCCCCCTAGGACTGGACTCTCCTAGCTCTAACCAAGCAACACGGGTTGAGACAGCAAAAGCCACTTATCGATGGGAATTTTCATCACAAATACTCTTGTGATAAAGACATTTTATCTATGAAGATAAAGTATTTTATCACAAATACTCTTACGATAAAGAGCTTCACATGTTTGGAACAGAAAAAAAAAATCTGAGGTTCTCAGTTGTTTTTCATGCTGGCCATCATACTGCTAACCAAAAAATTACACCCCCCCCCCCACAGATGGTGGAGACCAAGACAGAGTATTCTGTGTGGTCACAAGTTTTCAAGGACATAAAAACAGGATGAGAGGAAAGTTTATCTGCTACCCCTCTTTGTGACAGAATAACACAGAAAGACAGAACAAACGAAAACACTATTTGGGGAAGGGGGAGGAAAGGGACCAAACAATATGGAATCATATCACAATGTACCTAAGTACACCAGAGTTTTTGTATACTACCAAGACTAGTCACACAAATCCTTTTTCTCCTATTAGTCAAAACCTTGTAAACAGTGTGATCTTTACTTTCTGTTCAACAAGATTGTATATAGAGAGAGGCCAGGAAACTGGCTGGTAAGAAAGTTTTATCCTTTTTGTTGGCCAATCAGGTTTCTGGGTTTTCTCTGTTGCAACTTCTCAGAAGAAAAGAGTGGTTTCAAACGGCAGGGAGTAAGGTCCTTTTCCCCAGAAAGGTTTGCCGAAAAATCACTGACACGAGGCAGATGGATTAATTGGAGAAAAAGACATTTAAATTAATTTTTAACATGTAAACATGGGAGCCTTTAGAATTAAAACTTAACTTCTCAATGAGGTACAGAGGTGTTTTGTTTTGTTTTGTTTTTTTAAATGGGGGTTTGGAAGCAGCAAAACATGTTTGGGAAGGAGAAAAGAAAAGGCTAGCAAAGGCAGCCTTGGTATGTAGGAGCCCTACCTATTAAACTTCCTGCAAGCTAACCTCCGTGTTGGAGGCTGCTCCCAGGGAAACCATTCTGCAATGAGTTGAAACTAGGTTGGCTGTGGGTTGATAATTCTTGAAGCTGGGTGTTGTGGGCAGAATTCAAAGATGATCCCCAAGGTCCCCATCCCTGGCGTGAACACCATATAATCTCCAGGACTGTCAATGTGATGGATTTTACTCCTGTGATTAGGTTGTATCATTTAGCCTTGACCTAAATCACATGAGCCCTCTAAAACCAGAGTTTTCTCTGGCTCCTCACAGAAGAAGAAGTCAGAAATTCAAAGCACAGAGATTCTGCTGGCTTGATGATGGAGGGAGCCACATGGCCAGGGAGGAGGGTGGCCCGTAGGACCTAAGGGCAGCCACTGTGGACAGTCAGCTGGAAACAGGGTGCTCAGTCCTACGACTGCAATGAACTGAATTCTGCCAACAAGAGTGAGCTTCGAAGAGGATTTTCCTCCCATGGTTCTCCCCGTGCACGTGGATATATTTATATGCTTTCTCTCCGATTAATCTGCCTTTCGTCGGTTGATTCTTCGGCGAAGCTTCAGAGGGTGAAGAGGAAGTTTTCCCTTGGCCCCTAGAATAGGCATCGTGAAAGTTTAAAATGTTGATTTTAATGTTGCTGATCTAAGTGATGGGCACTGTCGGCCCAAGTAAATGACTGAGGCAAAAATCTCAATCCATGGAGGTTTATGAAGCCAAGATTTTGAGGACATGCCTCAAAGGGGAAGTTGGGACCTTCAGCATTTTAAAGGCAACAGACAGAAAGAAAAAGGCAGAGGGGAGGGGTGCTCACAGGTGTAGAGATTGTGCCTTAAAAGCATCTGTTCCCAGCACTTTATGGAAGGAATCACCAGGAACCCCAGAGTTGTGCGTACCCCTGACTGTGTTGCTTCTTTGAGAGAAGTATTTAGAGTTTTCTGTTACTAAAAGTTATTGCTTATTCTTGGGGAGGCCCAACAAGTGTGTGGCGTTGCATTTGGTCACTGCAGATAGAGGCCAGCACCAAGGCCTGCAGCTGGACACTCAGGCCCGGCCCTCACTTCATGCTGAAGGAGTCCCTTTGAGTCATCCCAGAGGGCACCACCCAGGTGTGTGGGTGTGGTGGGACTGTTTTGGGGAGCCCTGTGGGTGCGGTATTGAGGCTTCTCCAGAAAGAAATGAGAATGAGCCTCAGTCCTCCTGGGGAACAGTAAACCTCAGGCCAGGGAATGAAGATTTGAGGGACAGCCATAAAGCCCGAGTTAGAAGGAAGCTTCTCCCTCCCTCTGATCACAGGAGGTGTGAGCACCTGCCACCAGGTGAGATTTGCCTAAGGACACTGTGATTTTAGAGAGGTTGGCAGGCTCCTTCCAGATGGCTGGAGGCTGGGAGCAGACAGGAGGCCCTTCAAGGCCCTGAACGAGTTTCTCTGGGTCCCAGGAGTGGCCCCATGGGGCAGCATTAACCAGTGATTCACTTCCTCTACTCTTGAACCTTCAGGGACATCACATTAATGCTGTTTTGTTTTTTGTTTTTTGTTTGTTTGTTTTTTGTTGTTTTTTTTTGAGACAGAGTCTCACTTTGTTGCCCAGGCTAGAGTGAGTGCCGTGGCCGTCAGCCTGGCTCACAGCAACCTCAATCTCCTGGGCTCAAGCAATCCTACTGCCTCAGCCTCCCGAGTAGCTGGGACTACAGGCATGCGCCACCATGCCCGGCTAATTTTTTTTTTTTTTTTGTATATATATTTTTAGTTGGTCAATTAATTTATTTCTATTTTTGGTAGAGACGGGGTCTCGCTCAGGCTGCTTTCGAACTCCTGATCTTGAGCAATCCGCCCGCCTCGGCCTCCCAAAGTGCTAGGATTACAGGCGTGAGCCACCGCGCCCGGCCTGTTTTGTTTTTTTTAAAGAGAGAAGTTTGCAAAATAAAGCATTTGCCTTGCATATCTGTTTCCCTATAAAATTAAACTGAAGTTTTACCCTAAAGCTTCCTTCTATAAACTGGCCTTGCACCAGCTTTAGCTGGCATCCTCTTCCGGTAACTCACATCTTTATGATGATAGTCATCAAGAATAAATACACGAACTGAAGCCCGGGTCTTCCTAGTTCTGTTGCTGTTTGTCATTTCAGGGAAAGGAAGTTGGGAGAAAGAAGAAGACCAAGTGCGTTGACGAGTCCAACTAACCGTGTGCGTGTATTGTATGCCCCACCTTGCCCACGTCTCTTCCCTACCATGTTCAAGGCTCATCAGCTTGGACAGAGTACAAATTTAGGATGAATGCTACTTTGTGTTGCTCCTTCCATTTTAAACAGTTATCATAAAGAAGTAGTACATTTCTCTGATTCTTTGTTTGCCGGTTGGCCTTGTTGACCCACTTCCCCAAATGCGTAATGCTTTTTATTTTGAAATTTTCCCCTTGACTAAGCAAAGCATGCAGTGTCTAGTTACACTTCCTCTTCAATGTGGGAAAGCTTATTTTTCTCATTTGTGGAACTCAAAAAGCCAATACTCAACTGCCATAAGAAAAAATAAATTACTGAGTTCGCTATCCTAGAGTGTGGAGATGGATCATTTCAAATCATTATCAAGCATTTCTTTCTGAGACTGCACAACGTTCAGTTTTGCAATTAAGCACAAAGCAACATCTTTTTATTTTTTTTTGAGACAGAGTCTCACTCTGTTGCCTGGGCTAGAGTGCAGTGGCATCAGCCTAGCTCACAGCAACCTCAAACTCCTGGGTTCAAACGATCCTCCTGCCTCAGTCTGTTGAGTAGCCGGGACTACAGGCATGTGCCACCATGCCTGGCTAATTTTTTTCCTTATCTATATATATATTTTTAGTTGTCCAGGTAATTTCTATTTTTTTCATAGAGACAGAGTCTTGCTCTTGCTCAGGCTGGTCTCAAACTCCTGAGCTCAAATAATCCTCTAGCCTCAGCCTCCCAGAGTGCTAGGATTACAGGCATGAGCCACCACACCCAGCCTAAAACAACATCTTGAAGGGATAGGGGCTCCAGGGGCCCGCAACCCAATTCGAACACCAGCTCTGCCCCCTACTGGCTGTGCAAGCTTGGGCAAACAACTTCACCTCTCTGTGCCTACAACCCAAGAAGTGCTCAGTAAGTATTCTGTAATGCATTCAGTAGCAAATATAAAATCGGAACGCTAGCACCAGTGTCACGGGGACATTGTGAGGATAAGTGGTGATGGACATACAGCTTCTAACATGATTCATTGTTGCAGTATTATCTAGAAGAGTCTAGAATCTTGTGCCTCATACACATGTTCTTAAAAAAAATGTCTTCCATTATAAATTGAGGTATACTGATGCTGACTTGAAACCAAATCAGACAGCCCCACTCCTCAGTCTTTCCCCCACCACAATAAATAGCAACGCTTTTCTTCCACTTGCTAAGGCCAAAAACCTTGTGCCAACCCCGACTCCTCCCTCTCTCGAGACCCTACATTCTCTCTGTCAGGAAATCACGTCAGTGCTACCTCCACAGTATCCCGAATCAGACCGCTTTGCTACCTCCCCAGATGCTATCTAGGTTGAGCCACCCCACCCAGAAAAGTGGGACAATCTGTACAACACATCCACGGAAACTTCTGGAACAGAGTAGTCACCCCTCCCCCACAGATATGGAAGGGAAATATTGAGAGTGGGGAATATGTAACAGGGAATGGCCTGAAGAATAAAAGGGCAAAAAGATTTTCTGTCTCTTTAAAACTTCCCCCACTCTTTTTGGGAACTTCAGCCTGGCCAGTGTTCCTAAAGCAGATCTTTTGTTAAAACTCCCAGGTGGCACCAGCCCCACAGGTGGATGGTTGTCTGAGTGGAGCTCACAGGCTTTGCCTTAGGCAGAGATGGGACTGTTAGAATAGTTTAACCACAGTAACTGTCTGAAGCTGAGAACCCTCCCTTTAAAAGCTCTGGATTTCTGCCATGTTCAGGAAATTTGGAATTTTTCCTCCTTTGCAAAGGAAACTCTCTTTCCTTCCTCCTCAAACCGCTTGTCCTCTTTCTTCTGATTCGGCCCATGGACAAGTGGCTGAGTTTTCGGTGACATATCTAGAATGATGTGTGACCAGATGTCTGACTAATGTTAACATAGCCAAATTGACACATAAAATTAGCATCACATGATGCTCAATAAATGATTGAATAGTGAATTGATTCACTAAAATAAGAGATCAAATAGCTCAGTTAAAGCTATTGCCGTTGAAAGAAAAGAATACTTCTAAAATACTTTTAAATTTCAGGGTTTTTTAAAATCGACATATATTATTTTCTCTAGCTTTACATGTATTTAAGGTGTTTTTAAGAGTTAAAAGGAAAATGTTCTAAAACTTGATTGTGGTAATTGTTACAACTCTGTAAAATTACTAAGAATTATTGAATTGTAAGATTGAATTGTAATTCAACAATCCTAAAAGTTACAATTCAATAATTCTTAGCAGCATGTAGATTATACCTAAAGCTTTTTTTTCTTTCTTTCTTTTGAGACAGCGTCTCACTCTGTTGCCTGGGCTAGAGTACCGTGGCATCAGCCTAGATCACAGCAACCTCAAACTCCTGGGCTCAAGCAATTCTTCTTTCTTCTGCCTCAGCCTTCCAAGTAACTAGGATTACAGGCATGCGCCACCATGCCCGGCTAATTTTTCTTTATATTTTTAATTGTCCGGCTAATTTCTATTTTTATTAGAGAAAGGGTCTCGCTCTTGCTCAGGCTGGTTTTGAACTCCTGACCTCCAGCAATCCTCCCGCCTCAGCCTCCCAGAGTGCTAGGATTACAGGCGTGAGCCACATGCCCAGCCTACCTAAAGCTTTTTTTAAAAAGCTGGGCAATAAATGAGCACCTAATCATGTAAAAACATTTCCATTTCATAAAAAAAATTCAAATAAGAGAAAATTCCAGGGCTGAGACAAAACTAGACTCCACAGTATGCCGTCATAAGTAGGATAAAATCTGGGAACACCTGAAAAATAGTATTATAGGCAAAATCCTGGGTACACACAGGAAAATAGTATTTAAAAACAATAACTTTGGGCGGGGCGCAGTGACTCACACCTGTAATCCTAGCACTCTGGGAGGCCAAGGCGGGCGGATTGTTCAAGGTCAGGAGTTCGCAACCAGCCTGAGCAAGAGCGAGACCCCGTCTCTACTATAAATAGAAATAAATTAATTGGCCAACTAATATATATAGAAAAAAAAATTAGCTGGGCATGGTGGCACATGCCTATAGTCCCAGCTACTTGGGAGGCTGAGGCAGGAGGATCGCTTGAGCCCAGGAGTTTGAGGTTGCTGTGAGCTACGCTGACACCACAGCACTCACTCTAGCCTGGGCAACAAAGCGAGACTCTGTCTCAAAAAAAAAAAAAAAGAAAAGAAAAGAAACAATAACTTTGTTTCTGTTTAGAAAGGTAACACGTTTTTTCTTGTAAATTTGAATGACATCAATAATGTTGATTACTTTGGGAAGAAGAGACTAAAAAGCATCCTTTGGGTTTAGACAAAAAGAAGTATTTTAAAAATTGGTGACTGTGACAGTGACAGTCTCCACTCATACTCCAAAGGGCATCAGCACTGGACTTCCAGCGGCACCTGGAGGAAGGAGCTTCCTTCTTTTGCTTTGTGTTTCTCCAGCCCAACTCTTCCTGCCTAGAGGAAAAACCTTCCAGAAGTGGGCACTGCCTGCCCGCCTCTGGGCCCCTTGTCTTCTCCCAACAATCACATCATTCTAGATGTGATTTCTTTATTTATTCTCCTTCTTTCTACTTGTCACAGCCTCCTTCTCTACTTTCACCAGCTTTGCCAATTTTTCTCATTGTTTTTAGGGTAAGTGGGATCTTTTCCACCCCATTCTATCAAAAATCTCCCATCCTCAAGTCAGTGACCTGAGTCATCACAATATTTTGACAGGTGTGAGATGAGACTCACAGACTAAGGCCACTGTACACTGAAGGAGCTTAAGAAATTTCACCCCAAAATAGGACTCTTTGGTATAAAGAGTATTTTGAATTAAAGGCCCTTGGAGTTCAACAGGCCTTGGAAGCGGTTTCCCTCTATCTGCATAAACCAGATGGACTTATCAAAAAGAACAACTGACTTCTCTTCCACTCCCTGTTAGCTCATATATTGCAGGAAATAAGATCAAGAAGGCAACCAGACTTGGCCCAAATCATTTTAAATATAATACCTGTCTCTTGGGTTAATTTACAAATCAATCTGTTTCCCCCATCCATGCATTCTCCCAAGTATCTGTTCATCCTTTCTAGCAACCACTTATTGCCCCCAAACAGAATTACCTGTATCCTTCATCTCCCCCTCCCCTCTAAAAGGAGGGTATACAAATTTCTGGACTCCATTGGGATTTGGGAGGATCGCTCTGTGATTCTCCCAATATACACAGTGTGCACAGTGAATAAACCTCTTTCTCTTAACAATCTAGCTTTATTGTGAGTTGATCTTCCATCAAACTTTCAGGGGAAAGGGGAAGTTTCCTCTCACCCCCACAATGCTCACCTGCCCTTCTGAAAGCCGCTGGGCTCCGTCAGTTCACAGACACAGAAGCCCAGTCACCCTCTGACTTGCATGAAGACCAGGGACCCATCTGTGCAGACTCCATGCTCAGATGGCAGTTCCTGCAGGAGAGCTTAACTAGAGGGAGAGAAAGCATAGCCACTTGATAAATGCTTCATGAATGCAGAGTTCCAGCAAGCCAGGATGACAGAGAGGGTGGAGATTTTGGAGACTATGAGAACCTTCTCCACCTAATTACCCCTTGGCCCAACCTCTAGCAATCACCTGCTTCCCCCAGTTCCCAGGAGCCATAGCAATGTCACGGCAGTGCTAAAGCACTGTGGGAACTGTCTGAAAGGCCAGAGGTCTGGAGCAGTCAACAGCAGTGTGAGCAGCACAGCGGGGAATGGGCCAACAGGACACAGGAGAACAGCAGGTGCAGCTCCAAGGATGTGTGTGAGCACTCCTTCTCTGCCTACACAGCCCATCCACCCTTTCTGTCCCCATCCAGGAGCCCTTCAAAGGAATGACTAGGGAAAAAGATCTCTTAAAAAGCCTGAACTCCCAGCAACATAAACTAAGAGACATCTGGATTATTGAGATTTGAGATTTTCTTTAAAGGTGGCACAGTATACACACAGACACTGAGTGGACCTTGGGACAATGAAATGGAAAAGCAATTCATTTTCATACATTTATCATGTATCCAGCCACTTTATCAAGCTAACCGATACCAGTAAGACTTTTAGCTGAGTTTCTTGAATGTTCCAGAGCAATAGTTCTCAAAGTTTGGTCCAGAAATCCTTTCAGGGAGTCTGCAAGGTCGAAACCATTTTCATAAGAATACCAAGAGGTGATCTGCCTTTTTTACTCATTTCATCAGTGAAATGTGCAGTTGAATTTACTACTGAGAGCAGAGCAGACATAAGGACCCAGCTTTCTTCCCCTAGGCCAGAAAGTGGAAATTTTTAAAATCTCTTTTAAAAGAATAGCAATTTTATCACCAAATAATTTTTGCTTTGGAAAATGTAATTATTTTCATGAAAAATATGTAGTTTGCATTGCCATGTAATCGATTTGTTACTTTTGAATGAAGAAGTAAATTTTAAAATTTTTTTCTCAGTCTTAATTTCTAATATGGTAAATATACAGATATAGGTA